TACGCATGTATTTAACCTATTGACCCAGAAAAAGTTAGAACAGCTCATTATCTGCCTCATGCGTAATTATGAGGGAAAAAAAGGCCATTATAGGCTAATTCCCGATGGGGCAGTTGCCAGAGCTGTTGAATGTCAAGTGTTACACAGATTGTTATAACTACAAAGCAATGGAATATCCAAACTACCCCTCGTTCCTCGTGCCCACACATCAAAGGCATACCGCGTCCGGTGTTTTGATTAACTGTCACGTGAGAGTGTATGTAACTTTATTGCGTCTACAACGGTCGTTGGGGCGTCTAGCAAAGTGTCTGGGGATGTTGCAAAGTCCCTCGGTAATTACCTAGCGGGTGCGCGAGTTAGGTGTATGTAAATATCTTGCGCTCGCTGTAAAATATGTTTCAAAATGGGCTCCCGGTCTATGATTATCACCAAAAGTTCGTGCCTTGCATACCCGTATGTAAATAAGTAATCCCCCGGGACAGAGAACTGCAGCTTGACATTTTCAACCTCATTAGACATGCATCTTGGTACATGACCCCCCCCCCAAAAAAAAAAAACGTCAACAAACGATGCAATGCGCGTAATGTGAATGACTGTTTTCATATAAAATGTACTCAGTTATTGTAAATTTCTGATGTCGTGTGTCTAACTTAACATTTACTTATGGCTTATAATTTTTACAACGTTTATTTTTTGCTCACCTGAGAGATTAAATTTGTGTTTTAAAACAGCTGTTCTGAGTTCAATCATGTTTGTTCATATATGACGGTAAGTGTGAATTGTAAAGAAGTTACGTACATAGTACAGACATTGGTGATTGATTTTAATTATTGAACCGGGCACAGGCATCGGTTAATCATGGAGGTAAATTCTTATTAACTCCACGGGTTAATAAACTGGATAACAGAGAGTTATATTCAGGGGTTCATTTCAAGCCGTACGTGCGAAAGTTATATTTCCATGTTGTGTTTATGTTTATATTTATCCTTTTTATTTTATTTTATATATTATATTGCAACGTTTGTTATGAATCTTCTTAATATTTGTTTAACTGTAACTGTGAAGTTTCAATTATAATTTTATTTATTTATTTATATATTATTAGTTTCTAGACTTTGATATTAATGGATTAAAGTGCTCTGACTCAACTGTCGGCGTTGTTTCACTTGTTTTATAAGAAACGCCATAACCCCAAAAGATGACAACTGTCCGCATCTTTGTTTATTTTCTGACAGGTTTATATCTTATACGGAGGGGCGGCAAGGGGGGTAGCTGGTACAGTTTTACGGGAAATAAATAGGGGTTTTTACAATTTACAAGGAAAAAAGACGTTTTTTACAGTTTACAGTGAAAATTGAATGTTTACAGTTTACAGAGAAAATAAAGGTTATTTTACATTTTACGGAAGATTAAGAAAGACAACCTAGAAAATTCTTGTACGTACCGAGAAAAATGACACATTTTTAGTGTACGAAAAAAATATTTGATTGATTACGTTGTACGTCTAGTCTGTGATTACAGAATTACGGAATTTATTTTTTTTTCAATTTACGTTGTACGAACAAAAAAATATTGCAATTACGTTGAACAAAAATAACCCTTGCCCCCCCCCCCCATACGAATTTCAAACACTGTCTCAGCTCCGCAAGATTACTACGCATTCTGGTGAACCCGGAAGCATATCCCAGAATACAATGCAGAATTTGTCGACGTGGCTTTACTACGCATGCGTACATCCGGGAATACACCTGCGTGAACCCGAAATCGACGTGGCATAAGTATCTGCCCGATTTACGTCAGTTTTGCGTCGTGTATAGAACTTCGATCACCTTTAGGTTGTTGGTAGAAGAAACGTGGAACATATTGTGTCAACCTTGAAGCGATTAGCGAGTTTGTGTCGTGTCAGACTAGTATCAAGCACGATAGCATCGGTACCGAGTTCCATTTTGATCTCGCATGTTCCGGTATTGTAACATATGACAGATTGTGTTTGTCTACTGTGTTCGTCCTACGTCGCTATACTCTGATTTCATATCTCAACATCAACAACGAATAGAAACTACACAATGTATAATCCACAAGCCGGACAATCAATGGGCTATGGACAGCCGCCTGGTGGACAAAACTATGGCCCTCCTCCAGTTTCTGGACACAGCATGGGATATCAACAACAGCAACAGTCAATGAATCAATATGGAACTCCATTTAGTGGTAAACCTGCGATGGGTCAACCACCTCCAAGTAAAGCACCCATGGGTGGTTACAATGCTGGTCCACCACCACCGACAGGACAACCAATGCATGGCCAGCAGAATCAGAACGGCCCGTATACAAACAGTGGTGGACCGAGCAGTCAGGGACAACAATATTACGGACAACAGCAACAGCAAAGGTCAGTCACTTCCTGTTTAATCTGGCTGTATTGCCATTACTCAACCCCAGATTAAAGGGTCATTATTGTATGTGGTATGTTGTTGTAGATGATTATATATATCATATTTTTATATTATCAATGAAAAGAGGAAACCCAAATTTGGTTTTGCAAGTCATTCATTTTCCGACTTCGTTCATTACCAATACAAGACCCAATACATAAAGCCAATCCTATTTAATTAAATAATATTGAGAGAATCATGAAATTGTGCTGTTGTAAACATGATAAGAGTTCCTTAGCCCCCCCCCCCATTCATAACTCTAATCCTAAAACCTGGCCCTTGGGTCATTTATAATTATTTGGAAGGTTGTATTGATTTACATTGGGGGCTGGAGTGTTGGGGTTAGGATTCAGGTTAGGGGTAAGGGGCCCTTAAGGAACTCTTTCCGTAAAAATTTCACTTGGGTCAACATGACCTTCGATAGAATATGTCCTCACATGAGCAGTCTGAGATTATTCCTGTATTTGGACTATTATCACATGACCATTGTGCATGTCATTTACAGTAGTGACGTATTAGTGTGAAATATCTATAACTAAATATCACACTAAATGTGACGATATCCACAATAAACGTCATCAATCTGTATGCTCGAACAGTACCGGTATGTTGAGAAACCAAATTGTGGGACAGTATTGTGTGGTGAGATGACAATAACTTACAAGGCTGGTTGCTTTCCTCACATCTCTAAAATACAATTAACAGTATAGTGAATTGATCACAGAATCTTGCAATTTTGCAGTTTCAAAAACTTGCGAATACTACATTTGAAGCCTAACTGATTTCTTGCGATTTCATGTAACAAGTTTTCGTAGTGTAGTAGTTCACGTTCGCCTCACACGCAAAAGGCCCCTGGTTCGAACCCGGGCGAAAACAAAAATCAATTAGTTTTAATTAACGTCACCACATGAGATGTGTCGTGGATGCGTGTTCATCAACACGCTTAAAAGTCGTCCCTTATTCACATATAATTCGTAAGTGTGGTTCCATATAAATACAGTTTCTGTCATTTGACACATTTTGAGCTGGTTATGTGATAAAAAGGTTATCGTCTGATATCACTTGTTCGTAAAACTGGTTACGGTAATACCATACTAAGTATGTACTTGTGTCTTCATAAGCTCTATTATCTGCTCAGATTCAGTATGTGGATAATACAAACAGTGAAGTGTATCTACCTGTTTTTCGAACACCTGATATTAGTTGATAATCTCTTACGCATGTATGAATTGTGTGAATTGTCAAATATTCAAGATTCACCTGGATTCAGTTTTGTTCCAAATTACTGGGGTCATTACCAAGCCACTTATAAGATTGTTTCTTATTGGCTACCCAACCCCAATACTTATCAAAACACCCAACCCTATTAAATTCTGACTTTTGTATAGTGCTTTGAACAAGAGTGAATATTTCGTAATTCGTTAACGTCATACCATCAAAACTGTCACCAATCGATATTGTGTTTATGAAAACCGTTACTGCAAAGGCAGCTATTGCCAACAAGTACAATATTACATGATCTTGACTGTAGGACTTCCCCTGTTGAGTGGAACAGAGAAAACGACAGAAAGTATTGTTTGCTTTATGAAGTCCTATTGGTAATGATCTTCTTTACTTTTCTAAATGATGTATTGGTTTCTATGGTGAAATTTTCTGCATATACTGTATCTCCCAATTTCGCTAGAATGACATAGATGCAAAAGTTTTGTACATGAATTATTAAAACATTTCAAAAAATTTACTTAATCTAGTAAGTTTCCATTTTGCAAGTTTTTTCCCATGATACATTAACGTGCAGTAGCACGCTCAGTACAGCAAAATGTTAATTTGGCTCAAATCGTGTATACTAGTATATATTATACATGTTATACATGTACCATCTTGAATCTGTTGATCCAATGTGGAAGTGAATAAAGATGTTGATCTATAAAAAAAAATTTGCATTGTAAAATCTACCAAAACTAACTCTGTGTATGTTCTGCTTGACTTAATTATATAAAAATACATATAAAATCACAGTTACTGTAAAATGAACTTTATTTTCACTTGCAATTTATTTAAGGATGTAGTAGACATAACAAGTATGTTATAGTTAGGCTTGATATTTTCATATAAGAATTGACCTGAACTATAGTAAACCATATATTTTATGAAACCTCTTATCTCACACTTTCTGAAATTCTGGGTAATTTTGGATAGAATT